ACCCACTGACAACAGACACACCCACATAAACCACCCTCTGTCTCTGACACACCCACTGACTAAACAGACACACCCATATATACACATTATCTGTCCTGACACACCCACTGACTGACTGACACACCCACATAAACACACCCTCTGTCAAGACACACCCACTGACTAACAGACACACCCACATGTACACACCCTCTGTCCTGACACACCCACTGACTGACAGACACACCCACATAGACACACCTCCTGTCCAAACACGCCCACTGATGGACAAAGATTTGTCTAAAGACACACCCTCTGTCCTGACACACCCACTTACCGAGATACACCCACTGGCTAATAGACACGCCCTAATGGACACACCCTTATTCCTGACACACCCACACAGACACACTCTTTGTTCTGACACACCCACTGACTGACAGACACGCCCTAATAGACACGCCCTTTGTCCTGACACACCCACTGACTGACAGACACGCCCTAATAGACACGCCCTTTGTCCTGACACACTCACTGACAGACACACCCACACAGACACACTCTTTGACCTGACACACCCACTGACTGACAGACACGCCCTAATAGACACGCCCTTTGTCTGGATACACCCACTGACAGACACACCCACATAGACACACCTCCTGTCCAAACATGCCCACTGATGGACATAGATTCGTCTATAGACACACCCTCTGTCCTGACACACCCACTTACTGAGACACACCCACTTACTAACAGGCACACCCGTATAGACACACCCTCTGTCTAGACACGCCCAATTACTAACAGACACACCCACATAGACACACCCTCTGTCCAGACACGCCCACTTACTAACAGACACACCCACATAGACACTGTTTGAAAGACACACCCACTGTTTGAAAGACACACCCACTGATCGAAAGACACGCCCACTGACTGGCAGTATGTATTCAGAGTCTGCGTGAACTGCAACTAGCCGGGGCTTACTTCAGCATGTTGAAGCATTTCCAATTGAAACTGAATATTGAGAAGTGGGTGGGGCTTTCTTTTGCACATCTCTCTTGTAAACTAATGGTAAAAGGGGCGTGGTTAAGGATATTATTATAAAGTTGCTATGGAAACCCACGACAACAGAAGGAGCCTCACTCCACAGGCAGCAGAATAGCCTTGTGTGCCAGTGAAATCAACATGGTCATTCTGCTGTCACGCTGACTTTAATCAAACGAAGGCGTCATCGGTGAGCAGAAGAGTCTTCCTACACAAATATGACCTTATTATTAGCGCCGTAGTGATCTGATGAGTGTGTGTTTTGTGCACACCTTGGTTTTGAGGGTGAAGACGGCGTCTCTGAGGGCCGGCAGGTCTTTCGCAGGAATAAACTTCTCCATCATCTTATCAAAGTCACGGTGAGAGGAGAGAAACAGCAGCATCCGCCGGCCGAAGTACCTGACACACACACACACACACACACACACACACACAGATTAGACAGGCTGATTACATACTAATATGGCCTACAACACAGTGAATAAAGCAGCGCTTCCAGCCAATGAGGAACAGGAGAGGATGACCTCCTCAGCTCCTGCTAAACATGCAGAAGTAAATATATGCTAATGAGCTCACCTGGCCTCCTGACTGGAGTCCTGCGCCAGCTTGGCCACGGCGGGCAGCAGTCGCTCTGTCACGTCTTTAGCGCCGCTCAGCAGGCGAGCAGCACCCACACGCTCCAGCAGAACACTGAGATGATGAGCTGTACACCTGCGCACCGCTGCGTTCAGATGACTGTCAGAGAACACACACACACACATTATAGTCATAAACACTGGAGGTAAGCACACACACACAGAGAGAGAGAGAGTGTTTCCTGACCCGAGTCCTCCGGCCAGCAGTGCGTGTATGCAGCGTGTGTGTGTGCAGTGTTGTGTCAGGCTGTCCAGCGCGCGCTCCACGTCTGTGCGGATGAAGCCGTTGGATTCTCCAGCTTTATGCAGCAGCGCTCGCACCGGTGCGTCCAGCTCCTGATCCATCCCCTTCTGCAGGGACGCAAACATCTCGCCCAGGGTCACCACGGCAACACGGGACACGCCGGAGCGCAGGTTACGCACCTACACACACACAGAAGTAGAGTTATAAACACTGACAGGCAAAGTAATTTAGTTTTTCCTTTTGACGTAAAATGATTTCTCCTCCTCCACCGTTGTCAGATTATTCTGCTTATTCTAAGGAGAAACTCTCTTTATTTTGGCTCATTATTGCTAAAAACAACACTATATTGAAGAAAACGCTTCCTGCTTTACAAACCCAAATCAGACAAAGCTGAGACAGCATGAAAACACAAATCACACTGCAAAAAATGCTTTTCTTACTTAGATTTTTTGTCTTGTTTCTAGTCCAAATATCTGAAAATTCCTAAAATAATCAAAATAATCAAAATAATTAATATCAAAATAAATAATAAGAAAAACAAGCAAAATAATCTGCCAATGGGGTAAGCAAAATAATCTTACGTCAAAAGAAAAAACAAGATTATTTTGCTTACCCCATTGGCAGATTATTTTGCTTGTTTTAAGGAAAAACTCACTTATTATTGGCATATTATTTCTCAAAACAAGACAATATGTTTTGCTTCTCTAGAAAATTCTTCTTGATTTAGGAATTTTCAGATATTTGGACTAGAAACAAGACAAAAAATCTAAGTAAGAAAAGCATTTTTTGCAGTGCACAAATACAGTCATGATTGCTAAATGTACCGGTATTTTACAGCAGACAACACAACACACATGAGTTCATCTGTTCCTCACGATTATCACTGTGTTTTAAATGAAAACATTTCCAATTTTGGTTTATGCAAGACAACAGTAAAGCTTTTACCACTGTGTAATGCTGCCGTTCATTTCCACAACACTTAGAGACGTTTGGGAACTGAAGAGCTGAAGTGTTTCAGGGGTTATATCCTGCAAACAAGTCTTAAAGGATCACGAAGCACCAGAGCACATGCTTTGAGCTGTTGATAGTCTGATATTTGTGCCACGCTGCTATAAACACAGAGGACACGCATATCTCACTAACTAGTGAAGATTGGTTGTTTTTGCGTTATATCCGGCAAATTCGTTCTTCCAGTTTGAGAATAAATGTTGAAGCTGCGTCACGCCGATTAGATCCTTGTGTAAACTCCAGCGTGGAGACTGGATGTGTGTACCGGCGAGTACAACGTGACGTCTCTGAGCTTTCAGCATTAACTCAGGAGAAAGACTTGGTGTGAACCAATCAGCGCGCTCAATTGTGAGTGAGGTGCAGCTTCATGAATATGCATGACAGAGCTGTGAAGACTGTGTTCACCTGTTACAGTGTTCAGACGCCGCGGTGTGTTGCCAAAACAAGCAGAAGCAGAAGAATCGTTGAGAGACACGGGTCGTCAGTGTTGTGTTGATAAATGTGCTGTGATGAAGGTTTAGTTTCATTTCCCGCTATGAGAGCGCAGCTGGACTCACGTGTGGACTACAGCGCTCTGCTAACACGCCACAGAAACACGTCTGTGAGGAGCGTTATCACCCGACAGCTTTCCTCATCTGCATCTGCCGCTCGTCTCCTCTTAATAAAGACGCGACGGCTCCAGTTGGTGTTGATTGTTCTGTCTCTACAGATGTGCTCAGTGTGTGGTCAGGGCTCTTTGTTGATGTTTATTCAGAGTTAAGTGAGTTGGTATGGTCAGCAGAACTCTTTCAGTGTTTAAACACAGAGCTTAGTCAGAATGATTGAGTTACTCAGTGTACAGTAGGGTCATATCTCTACAGTATTATAGACTGAATGATCTGCTGTAAATGCTGCTCCCAGTGTAAACATGTACACACCGCAATCAGACTATTACCGTCATGGAGGATTTACACCGCATGTTGTGTCAGGATAGTCGATACACACACGGCTGTGTGACGCTGCCTACCGAGTGCATCTGAGTTACAGAGAAATGTGGAGGTTTATTTTCTCCCATTCGAAGTGTGGTATCAAACACTCCATTAATACTACACTATCCAGCAGTTCCTGCATGCAGTATCTGGTTTGTCACGGGAAACGCTCCTGAATGAAAGTGAAAGTGCCGAACTGCAGTTATTCATTCATTCATTTTCTTTTCAGCTTAGTCCCTTTATTAATACAGGGTTGTCACAGCGGAATGAACCACCAACTTATCCAGCACATGTTTTACACAGCGGATGCCCTTCCAGCTGCAACCCATCTCTGGAAAACATCCACACTCTCATTCACACACATACACTACGGACAATTTAGCCAACCCAATTCACCTGTACTGCATGTGTTTGGACTGTGGGGGAAACCGGAGCACCCGGAGGAAACCCACGCGAACGCAGGGACACCAACTGAGCCAGCCGGAGCTCGAACCAGCGACCTTCTTGCTGTAATATAATCATTTGTCAAATAATTCCATTACTGATGTCCATGTAGACACTGTCACTGTCTTTCTCATCTGCGTCTGTGTGCTGTTTTGCCTCTGTGATAATCTGCTCGTGCCCAAACTGAAACTCCCATTTTCATGCAAACCCTTCCCTCTTTCCCTCCCCCGACACACCCACCTACAGAGCTGGACACGCCCACTTTCCTGACTTTATTCAGACTAGAGGTGTGAAACGCCCTGCTGAGACAGGCGGGGTTTTTTGTTGCCCTTTAAGGATTGCAACAGTACAAAGTCTTTATTGTCAGATTTTCCTCTTCTAAATGCTCCACACATTCTCTATTGGAGACAGGTCAGGACTGCAGGCAGGCCAGTGCAGTGTCGGTCTCCTCTTCCTCTGCAGCAGGACTCTGTGATGTGAGCTGAATGTGGTTCTGCATTGTCTTGTTGGACTCTGCATGGGCGTCTCTGCAGCAGAAGGCAGCATATTGAGATCCAGAATCTCTCTGTGCTGTTCAGCATTACTGGAGCATCACAGAAGAGCAGGTCACCCAGGGTAACCCCAGACCATGACAGAGCCGGGCTTCTGGACCTGTTGCTGGTGACAGTCTGGATGATCCTCTTCTTCTTTGGTCTGGAGCACACGGCGTCCATTTCTCCCTGAAACACCTGAAACACTGCTTCATCTGAGCACAGCACACGTCTCCACTGTGTGATGCTCCATCCCAGATGCTTCTGGACACTGTTAACATAGGGCTTCCTCTTGGCACAGTGCAGTGTTGCCTGGTGTTTGTGGATGTGACTCTGTATTGTGCTGCTTGTCAAAGGTTTACTGCAGTAGTGCTGAGCCCATGTGCTGATCTGGCTTATAGATGACTGAGGACTCTTGATGCAGCGCCCCCTGAAGGGTCGGAGGTCACGGTTGTTCAACTCAGGCTTGCGCTCTTGTCCTTTACGCAATGAAACTCCTCCAGACTCCTTCAGTCTTTAATGCTGTTCTGCACTGTTGAAGGTCAAATGTCCACATGTCTTCCTATCTTCCTCTGAGGAACATTGTGTTTAAACATTTCACTCATTTTCTCTCGTAATTGTTGGCAAACTGGCGAT